ACAGAAGAAGAGGAGGGGAGGGGGGGGGGAGGAGGGGAGGGGAGGGGGGCTTTATGTAAACAAAACCCCTGATTACGCTAACCTGTAGAATGAACCGATTTTGTATAATTGCCAGATCTTTTAAGTCTGTCTGTCTGTCTGTCTGTCTGTTTCTTCCTGTGTCTGTCTATCTGTCTCTTTCTCTCTGTCTTCCTTTGTCTGTCTGTCTCTCTCTCATCATCATCATCATCACCTATCATCATCACCATCAAATTTCATCACCATCACCACAACCGTACACTCTCACCCTTTCATTTATTCCTCCCATTGTAACCATCAACAGCCAAATCCCCCAAAATCCCCGTTAAATCCAACCAGTTACATTAATCCCCTTAGCTGCATAAATCCTCTTGGTTATATAAATCCTCCTCCCCTAGTAAGGATATTAATCTCTTCCTTACATAGCACATTAATTCCGCCTCTCTCTGCAGTATATTAATCCACCCACCAACACATTAATCTCCTCCTCAGCAGTACATTAATCTCCCCAGCAGCACATTAATCTCCCCAGCAGCACATTAATCCCCCCAGCAGCACATTAATCCCCCCAGCAGCACATTAATCCCCCCAGCAGCACATTAATCCCCCCAGCAGCACACACTCCCCCAGCAGCACACACCTCCCCAGCAGCACACAATCCCCAGCAGCACACACACACCCCCAGCAGCACACATCCCCGGCAGCACATTAATCTCCCCAGCAGCATTAACCCCAGCAGCAATCCCCCCAGCAGCACATTAATCCCCAGCAGCACATTAATCCCCCAGCAGAGCGGAAGCGGTAGCAGGCAACGTCGGGCAGGTCACTGTCATGCAGCGCAGCAACCTTGTGTACTATTGATTTTTACCTCAGTTGTGTCATGCCGGGTGAGTGGTGTCATGCAGTAGTCAGGGGTGTCATGAGGGAATCAGTGGTGTCATGCGGTAGTCAGGGGTGTTATGCGGTAGTCAGTGGTGTCATGCGGTAGTCAGTGGTGACATGCGGTAGTCAGTGGTGGCATATGGTAGTTAGGGGTGTCATGAGGGAATCAGTGATGTCATGAGGTAGTCAGGGGTGTCATGAAGGAATCAATGGTGTCACACGGTAGTCAGGGGTGTCATGCCGGGTAAGTGGTGTCATACCAGGTGTGTGGTGTCATGCGGCAGTCAGGGGTGCCATAAAGAAATCAGTGGTGTCATGCCGGGTGAGTGGTGTCATGCGGTGGTTAGGGGTGTCATGCGGTGGTCAGGTACACCCCCCCCCCTCCACACACACACTAACAACATTTAAACAAAGGAGCCGCTGCCAACATACAACACTTCATAGCCTTAATGTATATTCCGTTACCAGTTAATCTATTTTTCACAGTAGCAGAAACTTTCCAGGTGGTGATAGTTGATGCCAAGTGGTGATAGGTGGTGCCGGGTGGTGATAGGTGGGGCCGGGTGGTGATAGGTGGGGCCGGGTGGTGATAGGTGGTGCCGGGTGGTGATAGGTGGGGCCGGGTGGTGATAGGTGGTGCCGGGTGGTGATAGGTGGGTGATAGGTGGGGCCAGGTGGTGATAGGTGTTACTGCAGTGATAGGTGGTGATGGTAGACTGGTGGTGATAGGTGGTGCCTGGTGGTGTTAAGGGTGCCAGGTGGTGATAGGTCGTGCTTGGTGGTGATAGGTGGTGCCTGGTGGTGATAGGTAGTGTCGCAAATTTTATTCCAAGATCGCCAGATTTATTCTCATGATAGACAATTTCATTCTTTATATATTGGCAGTTGTTTTTAAGACACCCAATAGTCATATTCACCACTAACACCATCACCACCACACACACACCACCAGCACCATCGCCACAAACATCACCACCACCAGGAATATCACCCCCACCACTAACATCACCACACTCACCACAAACATCACCACCCTCACCACAAACATCACCACCCTCACCACAAACATCACCACCCTCACCACAACTATCATCACCACCCTCTCTCCCATACATAACAAAGATGACCAGATAATCATTATAAGCTGCCTTAGTGAGTGAATCGGTCAGTCAAGATTAAGTAGTCCCGGATCAGTCTGACCTAACTGAAATCTATCTGGCCAAGGGAAGGGGAAAAATACCTGGACACCTGAATAATAAATCACTCCAATTTATTTTTACCTGATGATTAAACACCCTAATGCTACCTGGGGCGGGGGAGGGGGTTAGGTTAGGTTAGTGTGACGCTGGTTACTCAATGTCACGTCATCAAAACAACCTATGTGGCGGACTGTGGGCCTAAAACAGCAAGAGAAGCTCCCATGGCCGAGGAAAACTGCGACCATCACTTAGTTCGAATCTCTCATTAAACCTGACATGTTATACAGGTAATCACAGGACCAACACGACTTACACACGAGTAGTTTATATTTATCTAAGCAATCAACGACTGACGCTCACAATAACCCGAGAAGGAAAGTAAGATTCTTTTTCCCCCCGCAGTGTTGAAATGACCAGCAATTACCGTATAGTTTAGCTCGTAATCCCACCGTAAATCTTAATACTGATTATTTACACTGTGCTTTAGTTTACCTAACCCCTGAGATTTCTTTTACAGGTAAAAGTTTACACCACGACCCATTATCCGGTCGTTCATTTACTTGAGGTGACTGGGAGAGAAGTGGTGGAGACACTCACCTGTCACCTCGGTAAAGATAAGTGTGAGGAGAAGTAAGTTGTTATGGCCTCTGGCTAGTAGGTGGCGGTAAACAGTGTAAGTTAGTGGTCAGCTGGAGGGAGGTGGTGATGACTCCACAGCCTAAGAGGTGGCACCAGCACCTCCAGCCAGCGGTGGGGGTAGAGGAGACCCTGACCAGGAGGTGGCACCAACACCTCCAGTTAGTGGCCAGCCGGGGATTGGCACGCGAGGTGTTGCTCCATCCCCTTTATCATGCTCACCACCTCCTCTGTAACGCCTCCCTCCATCCCCCTCCAGAGCTCCCTCCCTCCCTCCCTCATTCCCCTCCCTCCAATGCCTGCTGCTGCCCTCCTCCTCCTCCTCCTCCTCCTCCTGCTTCTCATGCTGTTTCTATTCTACCACCACCTTCCTCCTCTCCTCACCCTTTCCTCATTCTTCTCTCCTGCCTTTCAAGTTACTGCTTGTGCTGGTGTTGCTGTACATTAAAGTACATTATTACTACACTGTACTACAACTACAAAAACACCTGCCACTACTACTGCTACTAACTTCTACAGCAGCTACTACTAACAATACTGCTCTTACGTGTGGTGTAGTTCTTGGCTCTGTTAACACTACCGCCGCTACAGCTTAAGTGCTACAGAGAACATATTTTCTTACTGGTGGCTGTAAATAACGTCACTTGGCGAGTTGGGTGGTGTTGGAGGGAACTCGTATTATTGTTGGTGACGGCGATGGTGTTGGTGACGGGGTTATTGTTGGTCTGAAGGTTGTTGGTGCTGCTGTTGGTGACGAAGCCTTTAATACTGTGGGTGATTGTACAGTATTTGTGATGGTAGTGTTGTGTTGGTGTAGTACAAGGGGAGTATTCGTAGCATTGTGTTCGTTGTGGAGATGGCGACACTGCTACTACACTACAACAACAACTACTACAACTACTACTACTACTACTACTACAACAACTAATACTACTACAGCAACTACTACTACCAATACAGCAAATACAACAACAACAACAACACTATAAGAACAACAAAAACTACAGCAACAACAACAACTACTACTACTACTGCTACTACTACTACTACTACTACCACTACTACCACTACTGTCGGCGGCACACGTGGTAAGGACGGTAAGAAGCGCAATAACGTGTGAGTGAGGTAAATAACAATGACACAATTTCCACAAACTGTTGCTGGTGATAGAGGTGATGGTGATAGTGTCTGCTGTGGTGATGGTGTTTGTCGTGGTGATGGTGATAGTGTCTGCTGTGGTGATGGTGTTTGTCGTGGTGATGGTGATAGTGTCTGCTGTGGTGATGGTGTTTGTCGTGGTGATGGTGATAGTGTCTGCTGTGGTGATGGTGTTTGTCGTGGTGATGGTGTTTGTCGTGGTGATGGTGATAGTGTCTGCTGTGGTGATGGTGTTTGTCGTGGTGATGGTGATGGTGTCTGCTGTGGTGATGGTGTTTGTCGTGGTGATGGTGATAGTGTCTGCTGTGGTGATGGTGTTTGTCGTGGTGATGGTGATAGTGTCTGTCGTGGTGATGGTGTCTTTCGTGGTGTTGATGATGATAATGGTGTTTGATTCTGTCGTGTTGATGGTGTATGTTGTGATGATGGCGTCTGTCATGGTGTTGGTGATGATAATGGTGTCTCTCGTGGTGATGGTGATGATAATGGTGTCTGTCGTGGTGATGGTGTCTGTTCTGGTGTTGGCGATGGTGTCTGTCATGGTGTTGGTGATGGTAATGGTGTTTGCCTGTCTTGGTGATGGTGTCTGATGTGATGTACTTTCCTGTACAAATATTCCAGCTATATCATTGAACAGACTCCTCGCGGCACACAGCCAATAGTCAACGCCCACCACGGGAGAACTGCGTAGTAGTGTGTGTGTGTGTGTGTGTGTGTGTGTGTGTGTGACGGAGCCAACAACATGTGAGAATAAACCTCGGCCTCTCTCCCCTCATGAAGCCTCAGGAGAAATACTTACCTGCGTCAGATGTGTCACACGGGGTGTCTCCAGGGGAGGAGGTGGCCCTATAGGGACTTGGGGCTCCCTGTTCGAATACGACTCTGGAGATGAGGAGGTCCAAGCGTGACCTGGATACCTGCTGGTCGGGGGGGGAGGGAGGGGCATAGAGAGACTTAAGCTCCCTATTAAATGCCTCTGGTAGCGGAGCTGTCTTAGAACCACTTAGGGTACCTGGTTATCTCTCCTGGGAAGTGGGGACAACCTAGAGAGTATTAGCCTCTCAAATGGTTACCTAAACATACGTAAGTATCGTAGAAAGGACTTACCTGAGGCAGTGGCTCCCCGTTGGGCGCCTCTGGAGGGGGTAGCGGCTGGGGCGGGGAGTAGCGGTGGAGGGGCGGGCGGGCGGCCTGGCCGGTGGGCACATCAAGGGAGCGCACCAGAGAAGTGATGTCATTGCGGCCCTCGGAAGAGCGGCACATGGTGCACAGGGAGTCGTACCTCCGACTCTGCTCCAGTGCCTGGTGGTGGAGGGCAGTAGGTGAGTCAGTGGCGGGGATGGAGGGCAGTAGGTGAGCCAGAGGTGGTGATGGGGAGTAGAAGTTAGTGGAGGGTAGGGTATGAGGTGGTGGAGGGAAGCAGGTAAAACACACGTAGACAGGCAAGGTTGACAAGAGAGGTGAAGGGGTTTGTAATATGAAACTTTGAGTAAGAGTTGAGAAACATACTCCCTTTCTCTCACCTCACTTTATCTCTCACTCTTTATTACGCTCAATATAGCGGGAAACACACTAAATAGGGGTACAGTAGTCCACATTGAAATATGTGATCCATCCTCCCTGGAAATATTCGATTTTTATATTTACTTTAAAAAAAAAACCTTATAACACGGAGACCCTTCTGAGGTTGTAGCCTTTTGCTGCCAGCTCGCTGTTGTCGTGTGGCCCCCTACTTCCCCACACTCCAGGACTAACTCCAGATTGACACTCTACAGGTGGAGGTCACCGTCGGGGACACCGCCCAGGTGGAGGTCACCGTCGGGGACACTGCCCAGGTAGAGGTCACCGACGGGGACACTGCCCAGGTGGAGGTCACCGTCGGGGACACTGCCCAGGTAGAGGTCACAGTCGTAAGAACACGGAAGAGGGTTGAGGACCCCCAAAGACTGCCGCCAACAGCTCCTCGTTATGGATCATGTTGGCCGCGTGAAGAATGTTAAAACAATGGAAGTGATGGTTGAATGTTAATTTGTTTTATTTTTCAGTAAACTAAAAATAAAACTTATTCTCTTATTATTTACATAATTACTCCACAAAAATGTTTATAAAAGAACTCTTGCATACAACTCTAACTGCACTTACTTATATCACATATATTGTGGACTTCTGACACCTGGGTACAACACTTTAGCCACAAAGGAAAGAACTGGGCCGTGGAGGAGCTAAGTACCCTACCGGGGCCTAGACGAAGGAGGAGGGAGAAGGAAACAAGACCAAAGGAACAGAGCGAACGATCCCCTATCACCATCATCATCCACTACTAGAGAAGAGTCTCTCTCTCTCTCTCGTTTACCATTCAGGCTTCGCTCAACCACTAGTCCTTCGAGTTGAGCAGATCAAGATGGGAGAAGGGAAGGGAGAGAAGAAATGGCGAGAAAGGTGAGGAAGGAGGGTGAGAAGGGGGAGAAGGAGGGTGAGAAGGGGGAAAGGAGAAAGTGAGGGGAAAAAGGAATGGAGAAAGAGTGAAGGGGAAGGAGGGAAAAATGGATAAGGGGTAAACGAAGTGGAAAGAAAAGAGGGAAAGGGGAAAAGAAAGAACGGGGGGAAGAGGAGGAAAAGGGGAGGGACACATCATAGTCAAAGGGGGGGGGGTGTGATCGTAACTACCACAAGGCATCGTAGCGACAGTGACAGGAGGGTAACCACGTCACCTTTATATATATATATATATATATATATATATATATATATATATATATATATATATATATATATATATATATATATATATATATATATATATATATCCGAGGGAGTCGTTATGCGAATACGGATCATTAAACAGTTGAGGCGTCGTTGGTATGCTGGGTCGTTCGCTAAACAGTGGGAGGTCGTTGGTGGGTCGTTTGTTTAATAGTGAGGCGTGGGCTGGGTCGTTCGTTAATCAGTGAAGTGTCTTGGATCTTTCGTTAAAAAGTGAGGCTTCGTTAGCTCTTAAATGTGCTCAGGTCGTTATATGTGACTAGGTGGTTGCTATATAAGGTCAGGTGGTTATAAGGCCGGATGGTTGATATGTGAGAACAGGTGGTTGGCATGACAGTTCTACAAAGGCTGATCATTAAACAGGTGGTTGGCATGATAGTTCTACAAAGGCTGATCATTATACAGTAAAGGTGGATGTAGATGAACTGATATAGATAAGAGGGTGACGGGAGGTGGTGGTGGGTGTGGGTGGTTGGGTGTCGGGGTGGGGGGTGGGTGGGTGTGGGCGGGAGGTGGATAGAGACAGGCTAAGTCAATACCATGTGTCACAAAGGGGGTAGAAGGTGGAGGAGAACACACACACACACACACACACACATCAACATCTACGACCTTACATCTCTGGGGTTACATCCATATCTTGACACCTTCACGTAAAAAAAAAAAAAATCCCCCAGAAAACATATTGCAAGAAACTTAATACTTAATATATAGCCGGAAAATAGTAGCTAGTATTAAGGGGTTAGGTGTAGAAGAGGTGTTGGGGCTGTGAAAAGGACAAAGAAGGTGTACAGACAGCAGTAGGTGGGTAGCCATTGCAGAGCGGTTGGAGGTAACACAGCAGAACTGTTGAGCATATCGCCTTTATATCTCCGTTGCGGGTCAGGGGAGCATCACACGGCCTCGACACGTCACTGATACCTCCTATTAGCCTAATGATTCAATATACAGTATAATACTTTTTGATAGGGAGGTATTGTTAGCCATTAAGCACCATCCTAGATATATGGTGTAATCCCCCCCTTAAAAAAGAGTGACTGACTTTTAAGATACCGTTATCACCATCAACCAGGCAGACGGTTTGGGAAAATTTACCCAATACGTTTTCTCTTAATAATTGGTAAAACGTTTCGGTAAGGTTTCGAACTAATAAACATAGAGAATGAATTATTACGTATTATATGAAATCGAAAGTTGAGGTGGTGTGTGGTGCGCAATACAGCCAACAGCTTCCCCCAGCTAAGGTGACGACAGAAAACCTCGGTCACTAGAGAAAACGAACTAGAGTGAATGGTAACCTTAACCAAACGATGAATCCCTCGACTCTGGGGCGGCCGGGAGGACAGGGGGGAAGGAGGGGAATAGCGTTTTCTAAATACTCTCCAAGTTAAAGGAATAACTAGTGGAGATAGTCCCTTGGAGGAGATAGTCCCTTGGAGGAGATAGTCTCTTAGGGGAGATAGTCTCTTAGTGGATACAGTCTACTAACCCCTTGTGTATGGGGTCTCCTCTGAGCTGAATAAAATCGTTTTCCGCTCACCAAATAAAATAATAAAGTGGCGTCCTTATAGTGAAAGAGTCAATTTAGTATTGCCTAACTTTTTTCAGTATTTTTCATTAACTCTTTATACACTTGCAAATTCTACACTATTATTCATCACACTTTGAAGTTTATGTTTTATGATAATTTGATTTAATACTACAGTATATCATTAACCTGTACTACACCTTGTACTGACCTTGGCAGCAACGATGTCAGCGCCTTGTAAGACACAGTCGCTCACGATATTGCTCACGTCCAGGTACACCATCTCCAGCTCCTGTAGGGGGAGGAACACTTATTAACGACCAGGTACACCATCTCCAGCTCCTGTAGGGGGAGGAACACTTATTAACGACCAGGTACACCATCTCCAGCTCCTGTAGGGGGAGGAACACTGATTAACGACCAGGTACACCATCTCCAGCTCCTGTAGGGGGAGGAACACTTATTAACGACCAGGTACACCATCTCCAGCTCCTGTAGGGGGAGGAACACTTATTAACGACCAGGTACACCATCTCCAGCTCCTGTAGGGGGAGGAACACTTATTAACGACCAGGTACACCATCTCCAGCTACAGTAGGGGGAGGAACACTTATTAACGACCAGGTACACCATCTCCAGCTCCTGTAGGGGGAGGAACACTTATTAACGACCAGGTACATAAAGAGGAGGATCGTTTCAGCAAAATATTCGAAAGTGAAACACACACACACACACACACACACACACACACACACACACACAGAAGTGAGAGGCAGAGACAGACAGACACACAGCTCACAACATGTCCACCACAACCTACACACAGAACAGCCGGGTGGGGCCTCTCTCTCCTCCTTATCTCACTGTGCTACTCTTACTCGAGCAGGACACAAGGGTTCTCTTCTTACAAGTTCATACTTTCTCTCTCTCTCTCTCTAAGCAATTACTCCTGTTCCATCTTATTTACCTCTTCCTCCTTTCTCGACGTCTTCATCCTGTCCCTCTTCCTTCCTTCCCTCTTCTCTCCTTTTTCTCCTCTCATTTGATCAACTTTTTTATGACTTGAGGAACAGAGAGGACAGATCACTGGAGTAGCCCCTACATCACACGGGCACTACATCACCGCCTAGTATATGAAATGTGGGTGGCGATGACCGTAGAGTTTTATATCAATATATTTCTTAACAGTTCAATGTTCTCATCAACATAACATACGGTTCGTTCTCAATAATCTATGGATGATGACGCCCGCACAGCCAGACAGACAGACAGTCAGACAGACAGACAGAAACGCGATAAAAATATATTAATAACCCCCCAAATTAACCTGTCTTAAATAGGTCCTCTTAAGCCCCTCGTAACTCATCCGTCAATCCCTCGTAACTCATCCAACTACCTTAGCAAAAAATCTATATTGTCCTCCTCCAAGTCCTTCACCACCACAACCACCATCCCCACCTCTCTCTCTCTCTCTCTCTCTCTCTCTCTCTCTCTCTCTCTACTCTCTCCCAGCTTTTACCCTTAATCCCTGACCACACATTTCAATTAACTATTTTTTCCCTTTCTGCCACATTTTCCTCTTCATTTCCTCTCCCACGACCCCAATCACACTCATAAAACTCATCTATTACAAATCCTAAGACTCCCTCCCCCCACCCCTCACCTGGTTCCGTCCCATTAAGGTCCCCAATACCCACAGGTAACCTCATCAACCCAGACTCACCTTTAGTTGATTATTCTTACCTGTAATTTATGAGGAAAGGTGTCAACACTTCCAGTACTGTACTGTGATGTGTGTGATGTTAATGAGATGATCTGGTATTCCGACACACACACACACACACACACACACACACACACACACACACACACACACACACACACACACACATACACACACACACACACGCACACACAAGCTCTCAGACTGTTATTTCTCCACTAATAACACTAATACTTGTACTGGGCAGTGGATATGTGTGTGTGTGTGTGTGTGTGTGTGTGTGTGTGTGTGTGTCTTTCACCACTCAAGACGTCATTATTCAATTATCTCCTCTTCTTCACTTTCCACCGTCGTCTTGTCTTACCCTATTCATTACCTGTGTTAATTATTCCTTATCTCAGGTGACCTCTCATTCATTCTCCCTCATCGCTTCAGTCTTTCTCCTCTTCTTGCTTCACACATCATTTATTAATCCCTTCCTAATTCCCTTTTTACTTACAGTTATTTAGCATCTTAGACTAGTCTTTGTTTCTCCTTGTAATTCCTCGTTTATTTTAATTTCTCTTTTATTATCTTGTATTTTCGTCTCCTCGTGTTCTAAGTCAAGTGTTATTCATCTTCCCTTTGTTGTCCTCTACGTCAAAGAAACTCTCTCTCTCTCTCTCTCTCTCTCTCTCTCTCTCTCTCTCTCTCTCTCTCTCTCTGTGACCTCCACTCACCCTCCATCTTGGGTCACTCCTCATAATCCTCCTCACTCCCTTCCTACGTCTCCACTCCACCTCAAAGAAGAAGATTTTCCGCAATGAGATATTCACTCCCACCTCCTCCTCTTCTCCCCCTCCCCCCCGCTCCTTCTTCTCCTCGTATGCCTCTCCTCCTCTTATTATCCCTCATCTCAACATACTTACCCTTTTAATGCATCCCTTCAACATATCATCATTAGGCATTAGTCCCCCCCTCCTCCACCTACTCCTTTAGCTAATCTCCGTTTTCTGTCTTAACTTCGCTTGGAAATTACTTAACGTGAGGATCTAGACAACGCTTTCAAGTCCTTTAGTTTATTTCATGTTTTTTATTTCTGTCAATGGCTCTTTTGTTATATATATCTACACTATTATCTTCATTGTTTTGTGCTATCTATGTCCTCTCTTTACTTGCCAGTTGCATATATGTACAAATTATCCCTTTCACGATAACTCCATTTTCTACCGAACTCTTTTTCTTATTTTCCATATATTTTTCCCCCCCTTCCTTCCTACCCCTTTCTTTCCTACATACTCTTCATCCCTCCCTCACTCCCTTCCCTCCCCACACCTCTCCCATACACCGACATAGTTTCCACCTCCCCCTTCATCCACCCCCTTTCCTTCTCTCCTTCTTACACCCACACACATCCACACCATCTCTATCACCTTCTGCACCACACCCATCCACACTTCTCCACCTTTCCTCCTCTCTGACGCCCAAGGACCCTCACCACCCTGACCTCCCCTCTCTCTCCTCTCTCTCTCTCTCTCTCTCGTCCATCGTAATGGCTAAATCACGTCTTCTGGCCGCTAATATGAACGCCTTTGAATCCATCTCCTCGGAAGGTCAAGAGGCTGTTGTTTCTCAGGGGAAGTCGAGTCCTAAAATTGCAACGTTCAAGGTATCTGGGAGGGGGTGGGTGGGTGGGGTGGTGGTGGGGTGGGGGAGAGGGAGGAGGCAGGAGAGGACAGGGAGGGAGGACAGGGAGAGAGGATGGTAAGCAGGAAGGGTGGGGGAGGGAGGGAGAGAGAAGAGAGGGGGAGGGAGGGAGGGCGGGAAGAATCCTTGTTCTGTCGATCGTGTTTGAAGTTGAAGGGATCAAAAAGATGTCTCTTTTAATCTTTTGTTACGTCAGCTAATACCTACTGTTTGATTTCTTTTTGCGTCTGTCGTGTGTGTGTGTGTGTGTGTGTGTGTGTAATTAGACGTGATGACAGATGTGCGACGATATACTGTAAGTACAGGAGAAAACAGATGTGCAACCTCTACCCTTGCTTACCCCTTGACCAGAGACGATATTACGTACACAAAGAGGTAAATAGAGCAGTTATCCCTAGAACAATAAATCAACGTTTTCTATGATACAAACTTTAGCGTGTGTTGAATTTCTATCAGAGTATAAACTATTATATTACTTCTCGTGTCCTGGATATTAAAAACATAACCATGTATACTACTTAAGTAAATACTGACGATAATAGTCCATTTAAAATAGCATAATTGGTTGATGCATCCGATTTTAAAGTCAATTTAACAATTGTTTAAGAAGAAGAGGAAAGAGTAAAGAAGAAAAAGAAGAACAAGGACAAGAGGAAGAACAACTTTAGCTCTCCGTCTTACCTGTGTCAATATAAGTCATAGGCTAACCAGGTAACCTTAACACTGACTTCATTAAGGCCAGACAACGTACAGGTGAGATTAGGTTAAAGACACCTCTATGTTTAATCCCTCCAGGTGAAGAAGGTATTTAACAGACTTTTTTTTCTTTTAACAAATATAAACAGAATTTTCTTATCTAATATAAACAAACAATCTTTTTAACCCAGTATAAACACAGTCACTCTCTTGATTGGGATATAAAAAAAAAACAATATTCCTTAATCACTTCCACTACAGTTCAGAAATTATTACATCCGATATATTCTCTGTGCTAATTAATTATCATAAAACAAAAACAAATCATCCATCTTAATTATTTAAAATTCACTTAAATCCTTCCCTCCCAACACAAAAAAAAATCTAAGATAGAACTAAAAATACAAGTCTTGATGTAGGTAGTATATTTGAGGCTAGCATGACCATCACATCACATGTAAACACGGCCACAACAACACAAATACAAACAACTTATTCATATTTTGTTTACTTCTCCCGTCGTAATGAAAAGTAATGAATTATTTACCGGAGCTAATTAGTGGGCACGGTGGAGCTATTCTTACTATTTAGAGACGAAAATTATCATGCCATTGTAGCTATTTGCTTTTAATTGTTTATCTAATGAAAGATATCAATTACAGCGAGGGATAATCGGGTTCGGCAGCAGGAACATGGGATAGAGGATTGCAGATAAGGGGGTTATTTATTATGTTAAACCATATGAATATCGTCCCTACCAGCATGGGGAGTTATGAGCCTGTGTTATGGGGGAGACTAGGAGAGGGGGTGTCATGTGATGGTCCTAAATAGCAGTCAGTCTGGCTATTAGTTTGAGTGTTGGTGGATGTTGTTGTTTGGTGTTCCTATTACTACCTGATCCGTAATGACTATAGGGATCAATTATCATGTAACAAGGTAGGTAATTAAACTAATTAATCAAGAAATACAAATCATGAAACACAAACTATGCTGTATATAACCAACACAGTCTCCCAAAACGCTACATCAACCAACGTCAAACACTTTATCTTGTGACAGTTTAGTTTAAATTCCGTCTTGAAGTCTTCCAGGGTCACCTCACTTGCCCGTGGCCACCCGGGAACATGTGACGGCCAGAGAGAGGCAGCGTGTACGGCCGGCCACCTCCACCACTCCATTCTGGTATCACTGTTACCGGAGACAAGTCACTATATCCGGCTAATGTCTCGGCACCAGCGCAGTATGTCACCCTCCAGCTATTTATCACCGGTCAAGACGTGTCCTTTGTAAGCTCGCAAGTCGCTTGATTAATCGCCAATGTGCCAGAGGTTACCATCTTGTTGCACATACATTCGAAGCCTAAGTTAACCACACAAGGGGAGGGGGGGGGGGTAATTTCTGGATGGTTCTCTGGCTGTGGAGCTCAAGTGTAATGTTACCCCTAATGAGAGATGACCAGGAGGGTGCCACCAGTAATACAGTGACTCAATCTAAACCATACCCGGACAGTTCATTAATCTGACGTTAAGAGCTACTTCCTCGACACAGTTACTCTGACGGCGGTACTCCCCCTCCCTCACGTCCCCTCTCCCCAACCCCTTCCACTTGCACCTCCTCCGAAAATGTCACCTGTCACCACCCATGAAATATAGACTAACAAACTCGAGACCCGCATCCTAATCCTGGTTGTGGAAGAATGGAGAGTGAGTGAGTCAGGACCTGTAGCTGGTGTTGGTGGCTGGGACACATCCATGCGTCTTACACCTCCCGAGAGTTACCCAGATGCTGTTCTATGTGCATTTTATATAATTCAGATAACAATGCTTTCTTGTTTTGTGACTTTGACGGTAAATATTCTTCATTTCAAACTTTTTTCCACACATATCTTGAATGTTAATGTTTGCATGGAGTTAAACCTTACAAACATTAAATTCAGCATTGATGTGAGGCATAACTGGGTATTCTTGACAGTTATATATGAATTTATTTGATATGTCAATATTAATCGAACATTCGTATCAACCAATGAGCTGGAAGGAGGGGGGAAGGGGGGGGGGTTTCTTAGTCTATCACCGCCAGGTAAAAAAGAATGACTATAGTAACGTTAACTTAATACAAACATACTGCTAATAAACCAATTTAACCTTCACTTACTGTTATAGGTAAAGACTGTCTAACTACCCCTTCGAATTTGGTACTTGGAGAACGTTTACACTATTGATCTCAAATACTAGTACAAATGAAGTACTATTATCAACATCACATACTAGGGAGGTGTCCTAGTATTAGTCAGGTACTTGTAATACACCAGGTGCAATTTCAGTATTCAATCTTATTCAAATAATCAGGATATCAGAGTCAAATTCAACCCATCTATTATACTGTACTGGAGAAACGTAACACTGAGCATATATACTGACCTCGAGGAGCGTGGGGAGCGTGGTGTTGTTGAACTCCTGTAACATGCCGTTGGTGGCGTGCAGCTGCTGGACATAGGTGTTGTGAGAGCGTCGAAGTAGGAGGCGAGGGAGGCATTACTCTGGGTACGGCAGTGAGTCTGGTAGGCGTCACTGTAGTCCCTCCGACACTGTCAACAACACACAGTATGTAACTCTCTGTAACTCTCTGATAACTACGACGTCTTATTCTAATACAGTAAAATACAGATTACAAATGCGGATTATATCTCAAAAGTAATGAATATAAACTAAAATACAAGATTAATTATTAATATCTATTGTGATTCTATTTTAATACTATAATACAGAGAGACGTTCTAGTAAACATCCACACATCAATATTTCATGATAGCAGCACTCGTAAACACGCCACACCGTCCTAACATTAAAAAAATGAGTTATTTGGCTATGTTTGTGTAGCAAAATTCTGGGTGTTGACCAGCACAAAGGCGTACCAGCTAAAAGGAGTAAAAAATATTAATAATTTGTAAAAGTAATTGTTGTTGTTTTTAATAATAATGACAAAATAACGCCAGCACGAGCAATCAAGTGCCTGGTGAAGATGACGATCCCCATACCTCACAAGGACAGGTAAGAGGAAGAAGCTACATAGACTAGACGAAGGTTCGCCCACCTTCTGCCAGCGCAAGAGCTGACTACATTGTTTTTAATTAATTACATTTGTATTTGTTCAGCCAGACGGTGATTGGATCTTTTGCTGGGTGGAGGGCTGGGTGGACGGAGGGTGGAGGGCTGGGTGGAAGGAGAAGTGGTGGTTGAAGGGCATGGAAAAAAGGGCTGGGTGGTGGGGATGGTGCAGGGGAGGATGAGAGTGAAGGAAAAGAGGAGGGAAGAAGGGGGGTGTTAGAGGGTGAAGGTGAGGTTGTAGGGGAGGGTGGAGAGAAGAGTCGAGCGTGTAGGCTGTAGCAAAGAGTGAAGCGTGTAGTCTTTAGTGCGTTGTGGAGTGTGTTGGTAGGCTGTAGGGTGGAGAGGAGCTTGGAGAGGAGCTTGGAATAGGAGAGTGTAGGTTACAGCGAGGAGCGGGCGGTGAAGGCTGGAGCGTGTGCAGTGAAACAAGGTAGCATAATGAGGTCTCCGTGTTCACAGTATTTACAGAGACGGGCAAGGTAAATATACGACCAGACGAGGAGGCGTATAGGACCTCTGTGTGTGTGTGTGTGTGTGTGTGTGTGTGTGTATGGTTGGGTGTGTGTGTGTGTGTTTATATATTTATTTATAAGTGATGACATTTTACCAGAAATGACCAAGGAAACGTTTTATCAGAGCGGCAACATTTGACACACATAACTTGAGTTAATGTCAACACAAGAGGAGCCTACGCGAACTACTTCTTCTCATTATTATTATTAAGTCAACATGAAACATCACTGAATCCAAATCCTCAATAAAAATAAAACTATGTACGGGTAACAGAAGAGAGCAACAGGAGACGTTTACAGAAAGGAGCAACAGGAGAAGGGTTACAAATGTCTACAACAGGTGGGGAGGATGACAAAGCCGTCAAACGGTAGTGGGGGTCGACAAACATAAACAGGTAAGTAGTGAACTGAGACACTAGCAACAGGTAAGCGACGGAAGGCTTCTAACAGGTAGCACAAGTGATGGGGACCCCGGCAACAGGTGGTGTAGGTGTGGGAGCAACAGGTGGTGTGGAGAGCGTCAACACCATGCCAGGTAAGATAACAGGTCAGGTATGGAGGCCAGGTAAGATAACAGGTCAGGTACGGAGGCCAGGTAAGATAACAGGTCAGGTATGGAGGCCAGGTAAGATAACAGGTCAGGTATGGAGACTAGGTAAGATAGCAGATCAAGTAAGATAACAGGTCAAGTAAGATAACAGGCCAAGTAAGATAGCAGACTAGGTAAGGTAACAGGCCACGTCAGATAGCAGGTCGGGTATGGGGGTCAGATAAGGTAACAGGTCAGGTATGGGGCCGGTAAGATAGCAGACCAGGTCAGATAACAGGTGAGGAAAAAAGGCCGTATATCACCTGATAGCGTAGGACCCACAAAACCACACACGTCAAATTACACTAAGTGCTCCGTCCTCAGGGGTGGGGAGGGGGTGAGGAGGGGTGAGGGAGGGGGTGAGGGAAACCAAACACCCTAAGGTACACGCAAGGTCACACAACGCCCTGGATGACCTTCGTGACCTCAGTGTAGTAACAGGGTCAAAGGTCATACGCGAGATAGTTGTTGAGGTCGATGAATTTCAAAAGGAACATTATGACTCCTGTTGTCTTGGTAGGGTTGTCAAATCGTTCGTCTGCTGTGTTATATTACCTCACACAAAATGATAAAGGTACTTTTTGATTGTGTTTACTTAAAGGCCTAGGAAATAACACACAACTGGGACCGATTTAATGTAGTCAATGATATAGATGGAGAAATATAAAAACAAATACAGGTTAAAGTTTTTCCTATATGATAAAACTACTGTAAAAAATGATGCCATGAACCCGGGTATAATAGAAATCTAATAATGATAATAATGATATATGTGAAAAAGTGGCATTAAGTGGCACGGTAACAGATGACAGTGGAGAGAGAGAATACAATCACCTGAAGTGCCACAAGAACCGGTTGCCAGGTAAAGGTGTTGAAAGAGATGGTCAATAAATGTCACATATAGAGAGATGTGGTAGAAAAGGCATAAGGAGTATCAAAAAGAACGAAGTAGTAAATCTCTGGGTAGTGGAGATGTACAAGGCAACAGGTGAGAGGGTGGAGCAACAGGTGTGATGCGACAATTCCCCAAAAGAAAAAAAAAAAAAAAAACCATAAGACTAGTGGACAGGACAAGAAAAAACCCACCCTCACCCACACACACACACCCACCTCAGCGGAAGACCCAAGACCTAAATAGTTAGAGAATAATAATATACATTTCCCTAAGATGATAAACAATTGGATGCTTCACTTCACTGTCACCCCACACAAATGACAACAATCTACTTGCTTAATGGACCATAATGGGTGTGTGGTAATGGGTGTGGAGGAGAACTAGGAGATAGGGAGATATAGAGCTGGAGAACTGAGAGATGGGTGGTGGGCAGAGAGAATCGGAGATATAGAGCTGGAGAACTGAGAGATAGGTGGTGGAGAACTGAGAGATTCCGGAGATATAGAGCTGGAGAACTGAGAGTTGGAGAACTGAGAGATTACGGAGATATAGGGCTGGAGAACTGAGAGATGGGTGGTGGAGAACTGAGATTACGGAGATATAGGTGGAGAACTGAGAGATGGGGTGGAGATGTGACAAATTTATAGGAAGAAATAAGGAGGTGGGCGAACTGAGAGACAGAGAGCTATTGAGTGGAGAAATGAGTGATTGAGAGCATGGGTGGAGAACTAGAAGATAATTGAAGCAGAGATGTAGAGAGAGAGAGACATCCTCCTCCTCACCCTCACACACACCCTCCCTCCACACCCTTCCTCCACTACACTTACCTCTCTCCACCACTCCTCCTCTCACCACACCTCCCTCCTCCTCCTCCCACACACACCCTCCCTCCCACCCACCCCCTCCCACCACCACACCCTCCCTCCAACCCTTCCTCCCCCTTACCCCTCTCTCCCCACTCTCCCTCTCTACCCCCCTCCCTCCCCACACCCTTCTCCCACACTCACCTCCCTCCCCACCTCTCCCTCCCACACCACCCTCCCACCACACCCCCTCCCTCCCACACCTCCCTCCACCACACCTCCACTACACTTACCCCTCTCCCACCTCCTCCCTCTCTCTCACCACACCCTCCCTCCTCTCCCTCCACCACACCCTCCCTCCACCACACCCTCCCTCCACCACACCCCTCCCTCCCACCACACACTTCTCCACCCCCTCCCTCCCCACCCCCTCCCTCCCACACCTCCCTCCCACCACCCTCCCTCCACCCCTCCCTCCCCTCCCTCTAAACTTTATCAATTAATTTATAATGAACTGAGTATGGTGTAATCAGTACATGATAGTTATTAGCTACCCCCGTCACTGTCTCATGATTATTAATATATATAAGAGTAACTAATTTCATTATATCATATCAGGAAATGAGACTATTGGTATAACAGTGTAGAGTGGGGGGGTTAGTGGGAAGGCTGTTGGAGTGGGAGCCAGTGGTGGAGTGAGGCCGGTGTGTGGAATGGGGCTGTGTGGGGTGGAGGCTGTGTGGGGGTGGAGACAGTGTGTGGGGTCAGTGTGTATGGGTGGGGTCAGTGTGTATGGGTGGGGGTCAGTGTTATGGTGGGGGTCAGTGTGTATGGAGTGGGGTCAGTGTGTATGGTGTGGGGGTCAATGAAGCCAGGGAGAGGCAGGTGGTGGCAGGAGTGGTAGGCAGGGGAGGCAGGGAGCAAGTGGTAGGCAGGAGGTGGGGGGCGGCAGGAGGGAGGCAGGGGTTTCTCAATTTAAGTTTTTGGGTGGGAGTGATACTGACAGCCAGAGAGGGAGGGAGTGAAGGAGAGAGAGAGGAGATGGGAGGAGGAGGTGGGCAGGAGGAGGGTGAGAGAGACAGGTGCAGGTAGGAGGAGGAGTTCAGAGAGAGAAGGAAGTTGCAGGAGGAAGAGGGAGACGCAGTGAGGAGGGGGATAGTGCAGGGTGGAGGAAGAAGGTGCAGGGGCAAGGAGGGAGGTTGAAGGAGAGAAGGAGGAAAGAGGGAGGGAGGGCCAAGATAAACTGCTGGACCAGAGAGGGAAAAAACACACGAAAGGAAGACATGTTTCCAACGTGTAGCCGAGGAAACGTAGCCGTGAAGGAAGGGGGTGCGTGAAGGAAGGTGCGTGAAGGAAGGTGCGTGAAGGAAGGTGTGAAGGAAGGTGCGTGAAGGAAGGTGCGTGAAGGAAGGGTGGGTGTGAAGGAAGGTCTGAAGGGTGCGTGAAGGAAGGTGCGTGAAGGAAGGTGTGAAGGAAGGTGCGTGGAAGGTGCGTGAAGGAAGGTGCGTGAAGGAAGGTAAGGAAGGTGCGGGAAGGTGGAAGGAAGGTGCGTGAAGGAAGGTGCGTGAAGGAAGGTGCGTGAGGTGAGAAGTGGAAAGGAGTCGAAGGAAGGTACGTGAAGGAAGGTAGGTGAGGGAAAATGCGTCATGGAAGACGTCTTGGATCTCTCTCTCTCTGACTTCTAAATTATCACGCTTTCCTCTCTTCCTCATCTTTATCACCTCCTCCTGTCCCCTTAGTGTCGAAGAGATGGGCAAACATCTTACTTGATAAAAGATCAATCAATCTATAGCCCTCCTTCCCTCCCTCTTTCTCACTCCTTCCCTCCTATCTCCTTCCCTCCCCCTTTCTCACTCCCTCCCTCCCCCTCACTCCTTCCCTCCTATCTCCCTCCCTCCCTCTCACCTTCTTGAGCATGTCCTCGGTCTTGGCGAGGATGGTGTCGAAGCTCTCACGATGGGTGAAGACCTTGCGGGACTGTATCTTCCTGTAGAAGGTCTTCTCGATGAGCGGACGGGAGACCTGCCTATTGAGGGTGCCGGCTATGTCGGAGTGGATCTGGGAGTCGACTTCCACCTCCTGTAGAAGTGCCCCCACGCCTGGAACATCTGGCTGGGGCATTGCGGCCTGTGGAGGGAGGGAAGAACACCTTGGTTATTATTATAAACTACCTCACCATACTCATCCATCACTCTTACTACCTCACTCATGTAATAAACTAAAGGATCATCTCTTCTCTCCACATCTCTGACACAATGTTCCTTTTTTTTTACCCCCGACGACCTGTGACTCTTGGCAACATAGACCGTCCTTGTCTCCATGTTGGGCCACCACTTCACCTTAACAAGAGTTATATTCAAGGCCTAGGGTCTGCCAAGTGGAGTTACATGTTTCATTTGCTTTTTTGAAGTTCAGATATGTCTTAAGGGGAAGAACTAAAGTCACTAAGTTATTAAACATTATACTGAGATCCAATGGTTTATTCTTATCTTTATATAGAAGAGAAAATAGAGAAAATAAACTTAAATTACCCCAAAATCTGATATTAATTAACATAAGATCAATCCTTTGATATAGTAGTTTATTTTGCCAATCACTGAGCTTAAGGAAGAAGGGTAGGGGTGGCGTGGAGGAAAGGGTTGAAGATGCTAAGGTAAGGGAAGGGGAGGGGGTTGGGGTGTGGGAGAGGTTTAAGGGAGTGAGAAGGATTGTAAATTAATCGTACGGGGCTTCGAGACGTCAGGTTATTAGGTGGGGGCGGGGAGGGTGTGCAGGAGGGGTGCAGGGAGGGGGGGGGGGGGGCAGACGGGTGATCACGTCTCCTTTGATGTTGTTAATGAGCCTTTACCCTCCTACCGATATATCAACATCACCAACCATCCATATATAACATCACCAACCATCCATATATTCTTTTCATCACCAACATCATAAACATCATATTTACCTCATTTCACACCATCCATATTCCAACCATCTTATATCACTATATAACATCACCAACCATCCATATATAACATCACCCCCAACCGTCCACATATCGACTCCGTTATAGTGTACAAAATCTAGACACAAGGTACTCCCCCCCCTCCTTCTATATATTGACCTGCTGCCCTTCAGGTATACAGGGCTGGAGGCGGCCAACATGACCCCGGGGGCTGGAGTATCCGGTTTCATTCGTGTGTATTGACGTTGTTTTCACCGACGGGGTTAATTTATTGAGCTTCAGTTGCATTATTGACATCTGTCTGGGTTAGAAACAAAAATAATTTGGACTCGTGTTTTCCAGTTACGGTACCGGATGCTTCGAAGTGTTTGGATTTACTGAAAATTTAAGGTTTGTGGAATTCGGTTAAAGGATTATCTGAACTGTTCGTATTTGTGATGCCTGGAGGTTTGTTGGGGTTCGGTTAACATGACACTACGTCTATTTGGAATAACTACAGGAATTTTAGAGAACGGCGACTCCAAAGGAGCGAGGCACGTGCCCCTGTGGGTGTTAGGTGCCCCATGGGAGAGGTTCCAGCCCCAAGAGAGAGGAGATAGCCCTGGAAGAGACAGGTACCTCATGGTAGAGGAGGTGACCTTGGGAGAGGCAGGTGGAGGTCAAGGGTGGCCTCAACAATTGGTCACCTTGGGAAGGAGAACGTCAAGTCGTCCTCGAGGAGAGAGATAAGGAAATGTTCGAGGCTCTCACCCTGACGCCCCGTCATCATTATCTTGACTTAAAATAAAAACTCGATACAGAAATATAGTCTTGCGTCAGTCACCCTTTGTTCCCCGCCTGGAGGATACCGGGGCCAAGATAACAAAACACAAGAAGACAAGTGAATAAAACAATAATCATAACTACAACAACAACAACAACAACAACTTCTGACAATAAAATAGACAAATTTCATACCTAAACAAAAAACATAAACCATCCCAATAAAATATATATATCAGAACAGGTTTCCTTTGTAATGAACACAAACTATTTTTGAAACATGTCAGCTGAATAATGACAAATACTTTTATCTGAGTTCTGGATGGTACTCCAACGTGGTGAGAGGTGAGGGGTCGAGCGAGGCCGAGAAGTGAGGAGAGTGATGGAGGGGAGGAGTGAGAAGGAGGGAGGTGAAGAGGGGGGAGGAGGAGTGTGAAGAGAAGGAGGAGGAGTGAGGAGGGGAGGGAGTGTGAAGAGGGGAGGGAGGAGTGAAGAGGGGGAAGGGAGGGAGGGGGAGGAGTGAAGAGGGGGGAAGGGAGGGAGAATTGAAGAGGGAGGGAGGGTGGGGAGGGAGTGGAGGGAAGGGAGGAGGTGAAGAGGGGGGAAGGGGGAGGGAGGAGTGAAGAGGGGGAGGGAGGGTGAGGGGGAAGGGGAGGAGGGAGGGAGGAGTGAAGAGGGGGAAGGGGAGGGGGAGGTGAGAAGAGGGGGGAAGAGGGAGGGAGGGAGTGGGGGGGGAAAGGGAGGAGGTGGAGGAGAGAGGAAAGGAGGATGAAGGGGAAAGGTCTCAGGGGAGGGAAGGGAAAGAAGAGATGAGTGAAGAGGGGGAAGTGGAGTGGCAGATGGAGTAGGAAGAAGGAGAAGTGGAAGTGGAGGTTGATGGGAGAGAAGGTAGTGGTGGTGGTGGTGGTGGTGGTGGTGGTGGTGCAGGAAACACTTAAAAAAATAAACTCCCTTAACTCAAACTTAACTTAAAAAAAAAAATAAAATAAAAATAATTAAAAAAAAATATAAATAAATTCAACATAAACCAGCCAGCATTTATAACTATGGCATATATTAAATAGCAAATTTCCCTACCTAACAACCACCACAACCACCACCACCACCACCACATAACCCAATTAACATCGAAATTGGCCCACACGTTATATAAACACTTTACTTTGTTGACATAGAGAGATTTATTCATTAGTGACGAGTATATAGTTTCTTCTTATAGATTATTATGTGTGATGTCTTTTATGTAGAAGAGGTAAAGACGGAAGGAGGGTAATTGGGTGTGTGCACTGGATTACAAGGAGGAGAGGGGAGGGGGGGTGGAGAGGGGGGTGGAGGGGAATGGAAAAAAAAAGGAAGTGGGATAGTGGAGAGGGAGAAGGAAGAAAACAATAGTGGGAAGGAGTAGAGAGAGGATAAGAGTGATGGGGAAGATGGATGAATGGTGGAGAGGGAATAATAGGAGGAAGAGGTAAAGGAGGAAGAGGTAGATGAGAAGAAAGAGGGAAAGAAGAAGAGAAGAAGACAGGAGGAGAAAGAAGAGATAGAGAAGGAGGAGAAGGGAGAAAAATAGAACTAGGAGGAGGTGTAGTGTGCGTGTGTCACATCAAGAGGCTGGCAGGAGGCAGAGTCTTATTCACAGTAGCACGAATTGCACAGTAAAGAACACACATTTACTCTCAACACATCACCATGACACCACCCCAGCAACACATCACACACCAACACACCCATCCACACACAACAACACACCCCACCACCACACACCAACACACCCATCCCACCACACCAACACACCCAACCATACAGCACACACACAGACCTAAACATTATGCATACATTGTTGTATGATCCCACCTGTCAAAATTCTCTTTAAAGGACCTACAAACCCACAGACACAAACAACTGTTTTTACAGACATTTGTGGAGTCATCATCATCATCATCATCATAAACTTTCTCTATTATTCTGTTCATTATTACTATTATCATTATTATTATTATCATTGCAAGCTAATATTTACCTAATTAACACCTGTCTAGGAAGCAAGACCCGTGTGAACAGGTGGTCGACCAGGTGTGTTCAGGTGAGAGGAGAGGCAATTATGTACAGAAACAGCAGGGCCAGGGTGAGAGAGAGAGAGAGAGGGGGGTGGGTGAGGTAGAGAGAGAGGGGAGAGAGAGGAGGGGAGAATGAAAGTGAAGGAGAGGAGAGGGAGAGGAGAGGGAGAGGAGAGGGAGGTTGAAAAGAGCAACTAGCTAATAGTGGACCCTGAGAGGAGGACCCAGGGAGGGAGAGGGAAGGGCGGGTGAGGAAAAGGGAAGATGAGTGAAGAATGAGAGGGAAAATGGAGGGAAGGAGAATGGAAAAAAATATAAAAAAATGGGTAGGGGTCTGGGGGGGCTGGGGGGGGATGGGGGAAGGGGGGGGTCCTAGGGAGATCGTGGTGATAGGGTCATCAGGTATAATGAGGGAGACTAGAGTAGCTAAACCTCGGTCATGATGGGAGTAAGGGAGGTAAAGAAGCTGAGGAGGTCGGAAGAGGAGGGAAGGAGAAAGGGAGGTAGGGAAAGAGGGGGAGGGAGGGATGGAGGGAGGGAGGAGGGGGAGGGACGGAGGGAGGGAACAGCCTCTTGATGACAATCATTTACGTAAGGAAGGAACAACACACACACACACACACACATATCCACCCATGATAACAAAAATGCCCCCCTAACCTACCGTTCATTGCGGAGTTCTGAGTTCTTTTTTCTGAAGGTTTCGACCAGCCGCTGGATTTCCTCGGCGTGTTGCTCGTGTATCCGGGAGAGCTGACCGGTGAAGTCTGAAACTGAACGAAAACAAGTGGTTAGGTGTCGGTAGTTTATGCTTTAATATGACTATACTTATTACGGGGTGGGGTGGGTGGAGGGGGTGGGGTGGGCAGAGTGGGGTGGGGTGGGTGAAGGGGAGTGGTGTGGGTGGGTGGGGCATCTCTGTGTAGGAATATATGATAACGTAATTTAGAAAAGTAAAATATGGACATATTTAGTAGACACGTTTAGGTACAGACACACACTCAACAGGTACAGTCTCTAAGAAAAGTCATGTTACTTTTTTTTTCGTCTTTACAATGTGAAACACTGGACGAAATACTTTGTTACAAACCACCAGGGGACCAGATACAGACACCCTCACTACCACACAGTTTCCTCCCTGGAGAACTTTAGAGAACCAAATCTTGAAGAAGTTCTCAAGAATTTCAGGTCCTCTAAAAAAATTCGTCTCAGGTAGCCAATAAACACTGCTTTCAGGTCTCTCAGCCATTGTGTTTGTAAGGGATTGAAAGGGGATATGTCTCAGCTGGTTGTATATAGACTATAATGCCCTGAGACATGTGTTTATATATGACTGTTGAGGGTTTCTGTCAGGTGGTTTATGTCTAATGCTTCCAGAGGCGTTGGTTTAGTTTTACAAACACGCACCCTGAAAAAGCATAGGAATAAAGACTCATCAGCAAGCAAACAAACAAGCAAGCAAGCAAGTATAGAGACATATGTACACAAGTATCATCCCCCCTCACACTGGAGGCAGGTGCCAGAGTGCAACATGATGAATCTCCCTGTAATGCTTTATCCCATTTCCTCTTCCATTTCCTTTTGGTGGCTAAGCGGCGACGGCGGGACGGAACTCACGTGTCCTAACTCACACCCATGTCTGCCTTAACCTATTCAAAGAATATCCTCTCTAGCGACCCACCGTAGCCACCCAGGTTCTAAGATATAAGCTCATATCCGCCCATAGCCACTGTAATCAACAATTATAGCCCATGGCCAACCCACTACATATCACCTATGCCCATACACTGCCCATCACCCTTGACCTACAACTATAACCCATGCCCATCCCACTACACCCACCATGCCCATCCCTCCAATGGTTGCCCCTCGTGTAACCAGGATGGCCAGCCAAAGGGCCACCTAGTTGTGAATTTGTTTAAGGTGTAGAATGCTGTCGCCAACACAACAACTACACCCTGAGTTAAAGAGTTGCATGACCCAGTGTCAAGGAATAGTCCGAGAAGACCGGACAACTCGCCAACTGCACTGGCTGACCATTACCCGGGAACACGATCCGCAAATCGATTAACATCCAGGTCCCCAATTACTGCTGGGTAGACAAGAGGCAAATGGCGTAAAGAAACTACATCCATCATGCCCACCTACAATACCCACATACTCACCTACTACACACTAGACCCACCTTACAATCACCTAATCTAGCCCACCGCTTGTTGAATTTCTCCATATCCGCCCACTGTCTCTACCCTCCCCACCCACCCACTCTCCCATAGGCTATATGTATATTATTTTAGATGTAACTCACTCCCGCTGACACCTGCTGCGATACTGCCTAGAAATATGACCGAGTGACCCTATAAACCTCTCTCTGTTACACTCTCGCAGCCAGAAGACAACGTGTACACATCGTTAGGACGTGTTACCGAGTCTCTCCATGCAGATATTTCTTCACCGCTGCTCATTATCTGCTTTGGCAGAAAAAGCTATTTGTGCTCTGGAACACACACGCGCACACACACACACACACACACACACACACACACACACACACACACACATCATATAAGTTGATGATACTTGATACTTTTCAGTTCAGAAAATATAAATTTAATATACTCATAGAGGCTGTAAAGAGCTCTCTCACTCAGCCTTACGTCAACAACGTCTGCAAAATTGTGGTTGAAATATCCAGCGAGGAGATAAACCTCTTAGCGTATGTGTGTGTGTGTTTGTGTCCCAGTAACAACTCGAGAACAGGTTTGCAGATTTTCCTATCAGCCTAATTTACATCTCAACATTCTCCCATAACAGCACAATGTTAAAAAAAAGACACCGAAACAATTACGTAAACATGACGTCACTTTTTACTCCGTCACCAAACACTTGTACCAATAAGTCATCGTCAATTACCAACATTTAATGGGCCACTGGAGCCTAATGGTCTTCTCTTTAGTAGTATCTATCAGCCATTAAACACAAGCAATAAGTTGAGACAATGGGTGTATGAGAGCTGTACAGTGTCGTGGTCAGGGAAGAAGGGGGAAGGTTATATTTGTTTACACCTCAGCTGATGCTCTTTTGTTTTGGGTTTTATACATTGTGTTGAAGAATTTATTGTTTTGTTTTTTCCTTTCCCTCTTTTCTTTTTCTACTTATCCCATTCTCTTACCCCTCCTCATCCTTTCCTTTTCTTCTCTCCTATCCACTTCTTCTCCTTCTCAACCCATTCTCCCCTCCTCTTCCTCCCCTCCCCTCTTATCCACAACCACCCCTCTCCTCCTCCTCCCCCACACAAAATATCAGGTGTCACTGTGATAAAACTGCCTCATCGATCTTCGGCCCACAACCCAACACGAATACCAACATAAATACTCCCAACTCACATCACGAATCTTCACCCCTTTTACGAATATACGAAATATTTTGGTAATAATGATGAAACTTAATGGTAGAAATATTTGAAGTAAGGATGATAAAAATGACTTGATGCAATAATTGGGTGGGGAGGGGGATGGGAGGGGAGGGGGGAAGGGAGAGAGAAAGGGAGAGGAGGGAAGGATGAGGGGAAAGGGAAGGTAGAGGAGGGAAGAATGAGGAGGATGGGGGAGGATAAAGGGGGAATGAAGAGGCAGGGAGAGGGGAAGGGGAGAGGGAGAGGGAAAGGGGAGAGGGGAAGGGGAGAGGGAGAGAGAAAGGGAGAGGAGGGAGAAAAGGATGATGGGGGGGTTAATTACAGGACGATGGTGATCAATGAATAAATAGAGGAAGGAATAAATATGGGAAGAGAGAGAGAATGGGTGATGAATATGGGTAGGGTAGATGTTCGTCTCCCCCTCTTCCTCCATCCGTCTCCTAATTATCTTCCTCTCTCCCTCCTTCCTACCTCCCTCCCTTCATCTACTCCTTCCATCTTCCCCTCTTCCTCCTTCACCACCTTCTTCCATCGTCTTCCCTCCTCCTTCACCCCCTTCCTTCCATCTTCCTTTCCCCCTCCTTCACCCCCTTCTTAAATCTTCCTCTCTTCCACCTCCTTCTGTCTTCCTCTCTTCCATCTCCTTCTGTCTTCCTCTCTTCCACCTTCCTCTGGTCTTCCTCTCTTCCACCTCCTTCTGTCTTCCTCTCTTCCATCTCCTTCTGTCTTCCTCCCTCCCTCATACGCCTCTCCTTACCTCACGTTTCAGGTTCTCGTTATAACCATAAAAGCCAAAGGAGAAGAAAGTGAAGGAGAATAATGGAAGGAAATGGGAGAATGTGAGAGAAGGTGAGAGAAAAGATAAAGTGAGAAAACGGTAAAATAAATAGAGATAAAGAGAAAAGGAGGAGAGAGAAAGAGAAAAAGAATGAAAATAAGAGAAAAGAGAAAGAGGTAGAGAGAAAGATAGGATAAAAAAGATAGAATAAGAGATAAAGAAAGAGGGAGAAGGAATGACAAACAAGGAGAGAAAATGTAGAGAATGACACACACACACACACACACACACACACACACACACACACACACACACATGAGCACAAATCCATAATAAAATAAAAATAAATACACATATCTATGCAACTCTCATGCTGTGTCTCTGCATTTCCAAGCTTTTAGGTAAATATTTCAACGATTGATCAAACTTCCTCACGCCATGCATGCTAACACACACTTTGCCCAAACTCCACCCGCGTAAATACCCATCCTATCCACTCCCACCCACCCAACCTCACTCCACTCGCCCACCACTCCCACCTCCCACCAAATTGCATTCCATATCTAACACTTTCTACTCGAGTTAAAATCAAAAAAAAAAAAAAGAGAATTGGTTTGAAGGTAATACATCTGTTTTAAGAGGAAGGCGCCCTGCGTTTAAAAGGTATTAGAAACTTGTAAACTAGTTCGAAACTTTTTGAAGCAGGTGTTGATGACTCTGTAGCCTCGGGAGTCTTAAGTGCTTCACTCAGTCCTCAAGTTGAGATGAAGTTTACTCAGCGTACGAGTGATAAGAAAAAAAATGTTCTATATTATGAGGAAGAAAGAGGAGTGGCACTGAGAGGAGGTGGCACTCAGAGGAGGTGGCACTGAGGGAGGAGGTGGCACTGAGGGAGGGGCTGGCACCGAGGGAGAAGGTGGCACTGAGAGGAGGGGCAGTGGCACTGAGGGAGGGGTGGCATCAGAGAGAGGGGTGGGTGGGTAATTCGAGGAGCAGTGGTACTCAAGAGAGGTGGTGACACTGGAGGGAGGGGGGTGCACCAAGAGAGGGGTGGTGACACTGAGGAAGAGGGAGGGGGGTTGTAATTGGAGGAAGAGGGAGGGGTGGCACTGGAGGAAGAGGGAGGGGGGTGGCACTGAGGAAGAGGGAGAAGGTGGCATTGAGAAAGAGGGGATGGCACTAGGCTATTAATATCCGGGGTACAGTGTGTTAGTTTGCAAGAGCAGGGAAATTACAAGTGATTATCAGCGGTCGACACATTGGCTTTTGTCCTGATGAACCAACAGCAGGGAGGTCTGGAGGAGAGGAGGGGGAGAGACAAAGGGGGGGGGAGAGGGAAGGGAACTAGGAAGAGCAGGAGGAAGCAGGGGGAGGGGGAGAAGGAGTTGAGGGGAGAGGGAGTTAGGAGGAGGAGGAGGTAAGGCAGAGTATGGGGGATGGGACAATGCCTCTAGCTTTATAGGAAGGAATTATACAAAACAATACTGCCATTAAACACACACAACATACTACAGAACACGTAGTCCAAGTGGCATAAATACTCATACAACTTTGAAATAATGAATGAAAAACAAAAAATAGCA